GAAATAAATCAGGAATTTGAACAGATATATGAATACACCAATGTTCATAGCAGCATTATTCTCAATAGTCAAAGGGTAGAAGCAACTCAAATGTCCGTTGACAGATGAATGAATAAACAAAATATGAAATACAGATACAGTGGAATAGTATTCAGCCTTAAGAACAAAGGAAATCCTAACACATGCTACAATATGGATGAAGCTGGAGGACATTACGCTAAGTGAGATAAACAAAAGACAACGAATACTGGATGATTCTATTTATATGAGCACCCAGAGTCGTCAAATTTGTAGACACAGAAAGTAGAAAGGTGGTTGCCGGGGCCGGGTGAAGGGAGGTCTGGGGAGTTGTTCTGTGGCTATAAAGTTCTAGTTTTGCAAGATGAAAAGAATTCTAAAGATAGATGGTGGTGACAACAATGTGGCTATGCTTAGCAGCAGTGAACTGTATACTTAAAAATGGGTCAAATGGTAAATTTTATGTTTTACGTATTTACCACAAGGGCAAAACAAACAAACAAAAAGAACATGGAAAGGGTCCGCTGGGAAATTACTGAACTCCCTCCTAATATGGGCGGCTGATGGCTTAGGGCCACTGCACTTCAAATATTGAAGAAAATATGACTTTGCTTTATGGTGTCAGACTAGAAACGTGTTGGCTACCATAAAGGAAAGAGTCTTCCCAGGGAAGTTGTAATGGAAGACCTCTTGTTGCACCTAAGGGGGCCAGCAGTGGGCCAGCTGTTTCTTCAATGCCTGGAGGAGCTAGAAAATTGGATTTCAGAAGGTTTTGAAGTTAGAAGACTCCTTCCCCCACGGAATCAGGGTTGGGAGGCAATGTCTCCTTCGGACAGTGAGGAGGACCTCCTTGTTCATTGTTAGCTGACTTTGGCACGGTATCCAGGTTTAGAAGATTTCCCTGGGATTTGGGGGTTGTTTTTCTCTGTTACTATACCTTCCCCTGAATGTACTGCCTGGATTATTGCAATTGCTTCCCAGACGGTGCCTCCCACCCTGAACCAAATGCATTCTGCGCGATGCTGTCATGTCCTTCTTAAATTGCAGCACAGACCCTGTCGCTAGTGTTTCCTTTTGAGAAAAAGTCTGAGCTCAGGTTTGCATTTGAGGTTTCTGACCACAGTATTGTCTGCTCTTCCTCCCTCATACCTTTTGCACTTGGCTGCTGATTGAACATGCACACTGTTCTCCGAACGCAGCCCCACTTGCTTATCTTTTTGCCTTTGTCCTTGTCCTCTGTCAATCTTACCGTCCTTCAAGGTGGAGCTTAATAGTCATTTTCTGCAGGAAAGACTCTTGGATTCCTCATTCTTGCCGTTTTTGATGAATCTTTTCACCTGCTACACTGTGCAATTATCATTAGTGGATCTCTGAGAGTTTCTCCAGCTAGTCTCCAAGCCTTTCCGGTATAGTTAGCTCTTGTGATTGACGTCTGGATATCTTGTGATTACAGGGGTGATCAGTTGGAATGATGACAGGAAAAGAGCAGGAAAGGGGTTTGGCTGAGATACAGTAGGGAGCTATGGGTAGCTAGAGAGGTCATGCTTCCAACGTATACAACAAGGGGAAGAAGCTGCCACTAGGCTCAGCCACTTGTCGCCAGGAGAGAACACAGCCCAGCACTGCCGCAGCCCATGGTTCTCTGAGAGCAGCCTGAAATCTGGAGTTTTGTTTTGAGACAGAGGCTTGCTCTGTCACCCAGGCTGGGGTGCAGTGATGCAATCTCGGCTCACTGTAACCTCTGCCTCCCTGGTTCAAGTGTTTCTCCTGCCTCAACTTCCCGAGTAGCTGGAATTATAGGCGCACACCACCACATGATATTTTTTAAAAATATATTTTTGGTAGAGATGGGGTTTCACCATGTTGGCTAGGCTGATATCAACTCCTGACCTCAGGTGATCCACCTGCCTCGGCCTCCCAAAGTGCTGAGATTACAGGCATGAGCCACCATGCTGGGCCAAAATCTGGAGTTTCATGTGAGACCTCACGTAATGGGCACCTGTCTCTAGTTTGATGCTGTTGACACCTGGCCTGACACCTACTCCCAAAATCCATTGTTGAATGAACAGCTGTCATACTGGTTTGGACTGAGACAGGATGTGAAGCCATATTGGTCCACCATGTTTCCTGTTTGTGTTGATTTAGCCCCACCTTAACCTCTTATTTAGAGGATGCCTTAGTCCAGCTGGATTCATCAGGCTTGTTTATAGGTTCAGGGAAGCAAGGAGCTTTGCAGATAAGAGGCTGGGGAAGGGCAAGATAAACGCAATTAAGCCCCATTAGAGGGTCTTGTGGGGTGAATGAAGGGACGATGTGTGAGGAGGATGAATTAGGTTGGAGAGAAGGAATTCAAGAATATATGTATAACAACTTGTCTTTGAATAAACATAAACCTGAATTATCAGACTTTGGGAAACGTATCAACTTTGGATTATTTTGTGATTGTCAGTTTAAGCCAAGGTGGGTAGGAGTAAGAGCTGAAGAAATAAGACATTCTTATAGTCAGTTGTCCTGGGAAGAGAGGTGAAATGACTTGGGGAGCTGAATCCAGGATGGCACTGTTTAGAGAAGGGTCTTCCTGCTACCCCAGAGGCATGAGCCCCCCCTCCCCAGTCATAATTCACTTGGACTCCCTCTGCAAGGCTGGCATTTGGGGACCTACACTGCCTGCCCCTGTTCCAAGCAAACCCCATCTCCTGAAACATCTTTTTAAAATTCTTCCAATTATTTAGGACTCAGGCTAATAATAACGGTAATAGCTAATATTTATTAAGGGATTATGTGCCTGGCACTGTTTTAAAGCCTTTATGGGTTTGAACTCATTTAACATTCCCAGCGGCTCATGAGAGAGTTGTGTTATTTTTCCCTTTTTACAGATGAAGAAAGGGATTCTCTTGCCTTGGCCTCCCAAAGCGCTGGGATTTCAGGTATGAGTCGCTGTGCCTAGCCCTCTTTTTAAAAATTTAAACACATGCAGACTCATATCATTCTTTTTGTTGTGGTGGTGATAGTGAACTATGTGTAACATAACATTTACCATTTTGATCTTTCTTTCTTTTTTTTTTTTTTGAGATAGAGTCTTGCTCTGTCACCCAGGCTGGAGTGCGTGGTGGGATCTCAGCTCACTGTAACTTTTGCCTTCCGGGTTCAAGCGATTCTCCTGTCCCAGCCTCCTGAGTAGTTGGGGCTACAGGTGCCTGCCACCATGCCCGGCTAATTTTTGCCTTTTTAATAGAGATGAGGTTTCGCCATGTTGCCAAGAGTGGTCTCGAACTTCTGACCTCAGGTGATCCGCTGGCCTAGGCCTCCCAAAGTGCTGGGATTACAGGTGTGAGCCATTGCACCTGGCCTATTTTGATCATTTGTAAGTGCACAGTGCACTGGCATTAAGGACATTCACATTGTTATGTAACCATCTCACCAACCACCTCCAGAGCTTTTTCATCTCCCTAAACATGTTAATCAACAACTTTCTATCTTCCCTCCCCCCAGGCCCTGGCAACCACCCTTATACTTTCTGTCTGTGATGCTGACCACTCTAGGAACCTCATAAAAGTGGAATCCGGTTGAGCGTGGTGGCTCACACCTGTAATCCCAGCACTTTAGGAGGCCGAGGTGGGCGGGTCACCAGAGGTCAGGGGTTCAAGACCGGCCTGGCCAACATGGTGAAACCCTGTCTCTACTAAAAATGCAAAAATTTGCTGGATGTGGTGGCAGGTACTTGTAATCCCAGCTACTTGGGAGGCTGAGGCAGGAGAATTACTTGAACCCAGGAGGTGAAGGTTGCAGTGAGCCGAGATTGTGCTACTGCATTCCAGCCTGGGCAACAGAGTGAGTATCTGTCTCAAAAAAAAAAGAAAGAAAAAAAAGAGAAGTGGAATCATATCATATTTATCTTTTTGTGACTGGCTTATTTCTCTTAGCATAATATCCTCAAGGTTCAACCATGTCATAGCATCTGTCAGAGTTTCCTTCCTTTTTGGGGCTGAGTAATATTTCATTGTAAGTATTTTTCACATTTTGTTTATCTGCTCATTCATTGGCGGTTGCTTCCACTTTTTGGCTACCGTGAATAATGCTGCTATGAACATGGGTGTACAAATACCTATTTGAGACCCTACTTCCAATTATTTTGGGTACAGACCTGGAAGCGGGGTTCCTGGAACATATGGAAATTCTGTGTTTAGTCTGCTGGGGAGAGGCCATATTGTTTTCCTTGCCTCGTTTTTTTTATTGCTGTCTGATACTCTACAGTAGTTCATTTCATTTGGCCTCACTTATAACCAATGCTGCAGTGACCGTCTCTGGACTTGTCTCCCTGTGCACACAGGTGAGTGTTTCTCTAAGGTAAACACTGACCACACCAATGCTATTGAGTTAACAATAGTTTTGATTACCATGTCTAATTTCACTTTATAAGGGGATTAGTCTTCGGTGCCAAGTCCGCCATCTCCCATGATCTCAGTCTTTCATTGCTTTTGCTGTGCCCCACTGGCTCTCCCCAGGACAGGGCAGAACCACCTCCCCTCACACTCCTACTTCCTACCCATCGAGAGGCAGGAACACGGACCCCACAGCTGAGCTGGGCTCCAGCTTCCTGTGTCTGTCCCGAGCTGCCTCACTCAAGCTCCACCGTTCCCTTCCTTTGGTCGTTAGTATTGGCAACCTGATGTTCATTCTCCCAAACAGTTTGTGCAGTTTCTGCCACCACATGTATTGCCCTCGATAGTGTTTGCTTAATTGATGCCATCCATCCAGTTATTCCTACCTCAGTTCCACCTCTTCCAGGATGCCTCCCCCGCTTACTGCCACCCATTCTTTTCTCTTTCTTTTCTGGACTTAATAATGACAATAATAATAAATAATAGTTACTCTTTATGAGTTCTGTTTCAGGGTCGCTCATGTGCTCCTTCCGAATCCTCACAAAGCCCTGAGAGGCACATGCTACGGCTTTTCATATTTTACAGCAGAAGAAACAGGCAGGGAGAGGTTGAGTAACTTTCCCCAAATGACCTCACTGTCAAGGGGCAGCACTGGCTCCAAGGTCACACAGTCAGGCTCCGAGCGTCCTGCTTTTGCCATGCTGGCTGTCTGAGCCCTTTGCTCTGTCACAACCTCATAAGCCGCCTGGCAGTGCCTATAACTCCTGGCAAGGTCGATACCCTTTTCAAGAACTGAGCTCTTTCCCTTCCTGGTGTTCTGGGCACACAGCTGGTGCCGGCAAATGCTCTTGTCTTCTCAGTCTCATTACTCTCTGTGAGGAAACCTGCAGGCTGTTTTCCAGGAGAGAAGGGTAAGTAATTTCCTGTCATCAGTAGAAGCTGCGATGGAAAAGGGATGTTGTAAAGGCAATCTCTCTGTTTGTGAAAAAGAGGCCAGGAGACACAGCCAACCCAAGAGGCAGAACGAGTCCTCGATCCTCATGTAAAGGACAGCCTGACGAGTGTTCACGTACTGAAAATGTTTTCATACCTGTAAGGATCGGGTATCAAGTGATATGGACGACACAGTCCCCAACCTCCAGGAATCACAGTGGGGAGACCAGGTGGTGAAATGCAGTGACGAGAAAGTGTGATTCATTCCAAGGTCAAATCTTGACAGAGTGAGGGTGCTTGATGCTCGTGCGTGTGTGTACATGTGAGTGCATATATGTGAGCATGTGTGTTTAGATGAATGTGTGCTTGCCTCTGTGTCTGTGCCTAAATGGTTTTATCAGGAGAGTTTTTCTAAAGAAGCCGATTGTATTATCTGTTGCAGTGTAGTGAATTACTCAAAACTTAGCAACTTAACACACATTTGTCATTTCAGTTTCTGTGGGTCAAGATTCCAGGCTTCCCTGCGTACCCTACCTCACCCCTCACAAGGCTGCAGTGAAGGCTGAGGTCTCATCTGAAGGCCTGGCTGGCAGAGGAGGATCTGCTTCCAAACTTTCTCATGGTCATTGTCAGGATTCTGTTCCTTGTGGGCACCAGCTTCCAACACACCAAGTGAGATAGAGCAAGATGGACTCAGCGTAGTGAGGTAACCTCACTTCAAACAGACATCCTGTCACTTTCGCTATATTCTATTTGTTAGAATGAGTTGGTAGATCCAGCTCACACTGAAGGGGTGGGGCTTGCACAAGGGTGTGAACGCTAGGAGGCGGGGACCTTTGAGGGACATTCTAGAGATGCCTGCTACCCTGATTCTTCAACAGAGTTTTTATGCATGACCGGGAGTTCGTCAGCTGAAGAAGGATCATAAGAGGTTCTGGGCGACAAGAAGCCAGCCAGTGGGGGCCCAGATATGGAGGAGAGCCTGCAGCATCAGGGAAAGACAGTGTCGCCATGTGAGTTGTGTGTGTGTGTGCGCATGTTTGTGGCATGTGTGTGCACACATACAGACCCAATTCTGCGTACAGAGTTAGAAAGTTAGAAAAGAGAAAGAACTAGTATTTGCTAACCCAGCAGTCAATAATAATGTAATTGTACACAAAAATAATTAAAAGAGTGTAATTGGATTGCTTGGAACACAAAGGAGAAATACTTGAGGGGCTGGATATTCCATTCTCCATGATGCGTTTCTAATGCACTGCTTGCCTTTATCAAAACGTCTTACGTACCCCCTAAATGTATGTACCTACTATGGACCCAAAAAATTAAAATACAAAATTTTAAAAAGATCTCATGAGGGAGAGAGGGTCAACTGGCAAAACCCCAAAAGGCTTTTAAGGGTGGGGGATGAACATGAAAGAAGGCTGAGAAAAACACTGCCCTAGAGAAGCCGGAGAACCATGTAGTGAATATTGACAACACACAGGCACTGTGTTAAGCAGTGTCCATGCTCCACCTCGTGCAGTTCTGTAAAAACCCTAGTGTCGTCTGTGCTGGATGCAGAAGCAAATGGGTGGGGAGCTTCTGGCAGCTTCTTCTAACACGGTCCTGAATGACCTCCTCTCCTGTGTGTGCCTTATGTAACTCCCCTTGCTCAAGTGTGGGCTGGGCCTGGGTGACTTGCCCCAAACAAATGGAAGGTGGCAGAAGTTATGAGATGTCAATTCTATGGTAAAGTCATAAAGACTGATTCATTTATTTATTTTTTGAGATAGAGTCTCACTCTGTCACCCAGGCTGGAGTGCAGTGGCGAGATCTCGGCTCACTGCAACCTCTGCCCCCGGGTTCAAGTGATTCTCCTGTGTCAGCCTCTTGAGTAGCTGGGATTACAGGCACCTGCCATATCTCATAACTTCTGCCATCTTCCACCATGCCTGGCTAATTTTTTTTTTAACTTTTAGTAGAGACAGGTTTTAACATCTTGGCCAGGCTGGTCTCCTGTACTCATGATCCACTCGCCTTGGCCTTCCAACGTGCTGAGATTACAGGCATGAGCCACCGTGCCTGGCCATAAAGACTGATTTCTTTTATAACTTTATCATGTAAGTGATGCTCCTCTGGCACAGTCTCTTTGCTTTTCTGCTGTGGCTGCTCCAATGAAGCAAGCAGGAGAGACCCATGTGGCAAGGAACTTAGGGCATCTCCTGTCAGCAAGAAAGCGAGTCCCTTAGTTCAACAGCCCCCAGGGACCCAAATCCTATCAAAAAACACAGGAATGAACTTTGATGGGGATCCCTTTCCCAGTCGAGCCTTCAGATAGGATCATGTCCCAGGCTGACACCTCGATTGCAGTCTACTGACAGAACCTGGGCCAAGGATGAAGGGAAGCCATGGCTGGATTCCTGACCTATAGACATGGTAAGATAGTAATTGTGTTTGTTTTAAGCCTCTAACATTTGAGGCAATTTTAAAATGCAGCAATTGATAACTAATACAGGCTCAGAGAGGTGGAGAGACTTGTCTGAGGTTACGCAGTTAAGATTTCAAGCCAGGTGTGCTGATTCCCAGATCAAGTCTCTTTAGCACCACCCTTTGTGCCTCTAGGGTCTTGATCACAGTGGCCTTAAAGCCTTAACGCAGGCCGGGTATGATGGCTCACACCTGTAATCCTGGAAATCATTCTTGGGAAGCTGAGGCAGGCAGATCACCTGAGGTTAGGAGTTCGAGCCCAGCCTGGCCAACATGGTAAAACCACGTCTCTATTAAAATTACAAAGATTAGCTTGGTGTGGCATCATGTGCCTGTAATCCCAGCTACCCCGGAGGCTGAGGCATGAGAATCACTTGAACCCAGGAGGCAGAGGTTGCGGTGAGCCAAGATTGCCCTACTGCACACCAGCTTGGACAGCAGAGCAAGACTCTGTCTCAAAAAAAAAAAAAAGAAGCTTAACACAGATGTGTAGCAGGTTTTGAGACAGCAGTGGGAAGTCACTGAAAGTTTACAGCTGTGATGTGGGATAAGAGAAAAGCCCAGTCTTCCCGAGCCTAATATCTAGGCTCCAGCCAGTGAAGGCCAGTCTCGGGGCAGGGACATCTGAATCATGAGGCTAAGACCTTGGAGTATTCTGAGGACTTGAACTGAAGGTCAGAGGCAGAACAAAATATACCCCCTTGCTTTCCTTCCATCAGGGTTTTTTGAAGAGGAATGCCTCTGCGGGGGACAGGCAAGGAGAGGGACGGGGCTGTGTCAAGGTGCTTACTGTTTTCAGGTGATAGTAACAGACACGGGGCAATATCTGAGCTTGGACAGTCACTGCAGCTGCTCGATCACGACACATACACTCTCTCCCCCACAGGCAGCCTCTCTGCAGCCACCTGTGGCCCCCAGATGACAGCTGCCTGGGAGTCTCATGCCTTCATTTCCTTGTGACAATAGCAGAGGAAAATAGCTTTCTGGACTCAGCTCAACACTGATAATTAAAGGAACACTTTATCACCAGCAAGGGTGGAAACACCCACCAAGGGCCTTCCAGAAAAAGAAAAAAAAAAGCCTCGGTCCCGCCAGTCTCTTCTCTTCGTATAGAAATAGCAGACTGGTTTGTGAGCCCCAGCTCTGTTGATTTCTTCTCTATATTTCTGCAATAGGGATGCAGAGGACACACTTCTCAGGCTAAGAGTTCTGGTTTAGTTTCATGTTTCTCCATGGACCCAAATCCTATGTCCTCTCCATCTCTTTGGCTTCCTGAAGCCATCGTGTTAGATAAGCTCTAAGGTCGTTGCTGAGGGGGTCTGCAGACCTGGGCAAGGCCCAGGGGTGATCACTGGAGTGTAAGAGATAGGGCTCTGGACTCAGGCCCAGACGCCAGCCACAGTTCTAACAGTGTGAACCTGGGTAAGTTACTGGACTTTTCTGAGCCTCAGTTTCCTGACCTGTCAAATGGTAGTGTGCATCATGCAGGTGGTTGTAAAGATTAAAAGAGATTTTTTTTTTTTTTCTGAGAGAGGGCCTCTGTTGCCCAGGCTGCAGTACAGTGACTCAATCACAGCTCACTGTAGCCTTGACCTCCTGAGCTTAAGAGATCCTCCCACCTCACCCTCCTGGGACTACAGGTGTATGCCACCACACCTGGCTAATTTTTGTACTTTTTGTAGAGATGGGGTTTTACCATGTTGCCCAGGCTGATCTGGAACTCCTGGGTTCAAGCTATCCTCTTGCCTCGGCCTCCCAAAATGCTCGGATTGCAGGTTGTGAGCCACCACACCCAGCCTGGATTAGAAGAGCTGTGGCAGGTGAAGCTCCTGACACAGGGCGTGACATACACAAAGCACTCCAAAAATCTCAGCAACAAATCGATGCAAGTGGAGACTGTGGGGGAGAGTAGCCAGGCAGGAGGAGATAGAGTGCACCCTGTAATCCCCGAAGATCATACCCACTAACCTCGCTCTGCTCACCCCAAAGGCTGCACTTCCTCCTGAGAACACCAGCTCTTGGGTCTTCCCCCAAAATCAGAATGTGTTTGTCTTGCTTGTTCTCTGTGAGGGATAATTGATAGTAATGAGGTCATTCAAGTGTGATATGGTCCAGGAATCTAAGCTTGGGGATTAAGGAAACTACAGACTGGTTTGTATTTCTTTTGGGTGGTTTGAAATGAAAGATCCATCTTGGGGTGTGTGTGTGTGTGTGTGTGTGTTTCTGAATGTGAGATTTTTATTTTGTTTATCCTTAAAGAGATAATTCTGACCAGAGGCTAGCAGATGAGATGTGATGGAGAGTTCTGTAGCAGGGATCTGGACACTGTGAGCCTTGGGATGTTTTGTCCTGTTCTCTCAGGGTGCACAGCCCCATTCCAGCTCAAGTGGCTGTGTTGATTCCACACCTGTGAGTAATATGATGTTGAACAAGTGGATTCACCTGTCTTAACCTTTATTTTGTCATCTGTAAAATGGGACTAATAATCGCCCCCATCTCATATGATTGTTGTGGAAGTTACACTTGATAGTTCTCAAGAGCTTTAGCAGAGTGGCAGATACATAGTAGGAGTTCAATAAACAGCAATGCTGCTGATGGTGGGAGGATGACTGTCTCTTAGAGGAGTTCCTCAAAGTCCCCTGCAATGAGGAGCCCAGCACATGGGAGGTGTTGAGGGCATGCTCTCAGGATCAATGGAATGAGGGGAGCAGGACGGGGAGGGGAAGGAGCAGAGTAAGGCTGTGGTCTCAGTTGGTGTTGAGCTCCAGGCTTAGCCCTTGGAGTGGGTGGTGGGTGGGGTCTGCAGTGCCATTTGCACAGAGGTGGTTTGACTCCTAGGTCATTGCTTGTAGGCTGCCTCCTGGTGTGGAAGTGGGGCCTCCCTTTTGGAAGAAGGCAATGTATTGGAGAAGAGGGCAGTCAGGAGCCTTTGGAAGCGGAGCTTACACAAGCAAGCACAGGAGTTAGGGATGGGCGCCTGCCTGGTGAATAGGATCTGGAAGGGGCATGAACAGAACCCTCACACTTCTTTATTCCTAGAAGACTGAGGCATCGTGGCATTTGCTGTTTCTGTGCAAACTTTTATGGGTTCCTGGCCTGTGATGGGGGCAGTGGCTGGCATGTTGCTCACTTACCTCAGGCCTCAAGTGGAATCATTTACCCAGAGTTGAATTTCCTTCATTTCTACAGCCCTGGCAGCATCAGGCAGAGGAAATGAGAAGGTGTCTCAGCCCTTTGCACAGTCCTTCCTGTCCTTTGCCGGAAATGAAAGCAGCCAGGAACATTGCCTGCACAGAGGCCAGAAAGATGAGATCCTAGCAGTCTTGTGGGAAATCACTGCAAAAAGCACACTGCCATGGGGACAGAGACAAGGATGTCACCAGGCAGTCCCCAGGGAAGTGTGGGGTCTTGGCAGCCCACCAGAAGACCTCCCACGGCTGTGAATAGAATGTGACTCTGCGCTACAGGTTGAGCAATTTCAATTTAGGAGATTTGTTGTAATTCATTTCTGGCCTTGCAGATAAAGTGGATGTTAGAGTTTGATAGATGCAGTCTTTTTGGCTAGGGATGCGATGGCAGTGAGTTAGAAGAAAGTGTCTCAGGGCTGGGATGGGAGGAGGTGGGACCCTGGAATCAGAGGAGGTGCAGACCTGAGAAGCTGCGTCTTAGAAGTTAAAGACTCAATCAGGGCACAGAGCCAGCAA